TCTTAGTCTTTCTTTTCTTCTTTCCCACTCTCAAAATACTTTCCGGTACCTTCAACACCAACCGTGTTGCTTGTTACTCAGGCCTGTATCATGGTTTTGTCTGAGATCTAATTGTAAATGTAATTGTTTACATGTTGCTGGCATCACATCTGTAAGAGATGACTTCTATCTAACAACATAGGTACAATTTTCATATAAGCTCCCACTTTTCCTGTATTTTTATTAATGCATCTTTTTTTTCTGTCCTAACAATTATGGTTTATCCTTACAGAATACTGCTGTAATGATCACTTTCTAGCCAGTTACTTTGGGCTTTCTGTCACTCTGTTAAATAGGTGATAAACGTTTTTTGTCTCTGCTTCAGAGTTTCTTTTGTCTCTTTCTCATCATTATTCACTCTATTTGTAGTATTTGTTACTAGGAGACCGACTTTTACCTATAAAATGTTCATGATATTGGCATTACTTTCCCTTCTTTTGTGATGTTTTTGTACTTGGAAGGATTTCCACGTGACAAGTAATATTAATTTAATTTCCTTAAATACATCCTCAAAACACAGTTCTGGGCTCCCCAGTTCAAGAAAGATGAGGAGTTACTGGAGAGAGTCCAGTGGAGGGCTGCGAGGATGGTGAGGGGACTGGGGCATCTCTCCTCTGAGGAGAGGCTGAGGGAGCTGGGCTTGTTCAGCCTGAAGAAGAGAAGGCTGTGAGGGGACCTTATAAATGCTTATAAGTATCTGAAGGGTGGGTGTCAGGAGGACGGGGCCAGACTCTTTTCAGTGGTGACCAGTGACAGGACAAGGGGCAGCGGGCACAAACTAACGCATAGGAAGTTCCGTCTGAACACGAGGAATAACGCCTGGACGCGTTCCTGTGCAGCCTGCTGTAGGTGACCCTGCTTCGGCAGGGGGGTTGGACGAGATGACCCCCAGAGGTCCCTTCCAACCCCGAACATTCTGTGATTCTGTGAAAACTCTTCTCATCTGTGATATACAAAGCATTGAGTGTGTTGTTGGGGATACAAAATAGTTTCTATTTATGACTATTTCATTGTCTGTTTGTTGTTTGTGTTATCTTATACATAGGTTAGAGGATCCTATGGGGAAGGCAGAGTTTGAAATACTCCACTTATTCTGTGTTTCTGAAGTAGCCAGCAAAATGGCATATTTGGCATTGCAATTCCAGGAAACACTTTTTTAGAGCTGGTAGGATTTAGATCAGTCGGGAGAGTGTTAATGTTTGGAAGAATAAAGATGTTTTTTCAGTAACAGACTTGGACTATCATGACATTGCTGTTCATGTTCAACATCTTGTAGATTCATACAAAAAGTTGGTAGGGTTTTTTCTCAATATCATGATTCCTACCGAAATAGGCTATTGATAATATAGTGTCACGTAGTGTGCTGGAGAACGACTTGCTCTTCAAGGGACAGCTTCTTCAATTTTGGTTGTCTTTATTGTTCAACTTTCAGTGGAGTGTTTGCTCACATTTCTCTCAAGAGGTTATCCAACCAATGCTTTCAGTTTCACTGTCTTCTTGTTTTTCCACCTTCTTGCAGAAACATTAGTGTGTCCAGTGTTTATGGAGACCGTGGTGATTCCAGAAAAACACGGAAAAGAATTTGTCATTTAAAAAAAAATGTTGTATATTCTTGAGTGTGTGAAGAAGCACACAACTTAGTAGCACTGAGTGGAAAGAGTTCCTTGCCAGTGTATTCTTCACATGCTTGCAAAGTCTGGAAAATGAGTAGGCTACTGCATGCAGACGTTAACCATGTCTGATTTCAGAAGTCGTTTGTAATAGTTTATAACCACAGACATTATAATTTAAGGGTTACTATTTTCTGAAAAGCCACTAACATTGCAGTTTGTGGTAGCATTTCCTAGATAAAATTCAGTACTGCCACCTGATCCTTGTGTGGAAACAAAAGAACTGTCCTGTAAAATTGCAAACCATTATATGGCTTCCATCTATTTTTTTTTCTTTTTTAAATACTGAGTGGAGTTCTCTGGTATATACAGTACACTGTTTTTTCATTCTTCCTGCAGACACAGATATTGTGATTACATGATTGTGATTCTTAATATATGGTTGATTATGATTTGTCAATTGAGTACTTGAATAACTTATTTTTTTTATTAGGTATTCCAGTCTTCTAACTGGTGTCAAGCCACATGTACATGAAGTCCTGTAAAGAAGCTATGTGATTATAACGTAGTGCTCCAGCCTCTGATCAGATATTTTTAAAAAAAACGAGGGGTGGGGGGAAGAGTTGCACATGAAGTGCAATTTGTGGAGTGCTCTTCCTCATGAAGACCACCAGAGATGGTGGCTCAACCACTTCACTGGGCAGCCTGTTCCAATGCTTCACAACCCTTTCAGTAAAAACAATTTTCCTAATAGGCAATCTAGCAAGGTGGGTGTTGGTCCATTCTCCCAAGCAACTAGCAATAGCATGGGAGGAAATGGCCTCAAGTTGTGCTAGAGGAAGTTTAGATTGGATATTAGGAAAAATTTCTTTACTATGAAATCTGGAGGTAATACATCTCTGGAGGTATGTAGAAGACATGTAGACATGGCGCTTAGGGACATGGTTTAGTGGTGGACTTGGCAGTCTTGGGTTAACTGTGGGGCTTGATGATCTTAAGGGTCTTTTCCAATCTAAATGATTCTATGAATGATGCATCATATCTGATAGTGTAGCATATAGCAAAAGAAAATTTGAACTTGGTTTAGATCTTTGGTCCCTGGCCAGCAGAGATCTGTGGGAGAAAAAAAAAGAAAATTAAAAAAAAAAAAAAGAAAAAAAAAGAAAAACCAAAGAATGGACCAACCTTCCCCACTCCCATGAATTCAAGTTGTAAATATGTATCATAAAATGTCTGTATTACTCTGCAGTCAAGCAAACCTACAGATCAATATTTTCAGCACCTGCTAGTAACACAGTGTTACATCTAATTAGTGAACAGTAAGAAGGAAGACTGTCCATGCATATTTAATTTTCATTTTCAAGATGTTTTGATAAAATAATAATCATATATGTGAATAAGTATACTATAAGTCCTCATGTGTTCCTTTTTAAACAGTTGGTTTTTTTCCATTATTTCTATTTTTATTTTTTAATATTTTTTCCATGTCTGCAATCCTTTTGAGTTTTGTGAAAGTCTGCACTTATGGGGAAATTGAGATTCTTCTTTTCCATGTGCTGCCCTGTAAACACTCCCTCAGAGCGGCTGCAGCATGGCCTCAATGCCTATCTGTTTTTCTTACCCATTTGTTTTATTATGCACTGGATCCTCGGCTCAGCTATCTCTGTGGTGCATGGCTGTGATGCAGTAACAGGGGAGGTGAATTTTGGCCCATAGAAAAAAACAATTTAACAACATTATTTACAGTTCCTATGAATATTGCAACAGTTATCAGTTTTTTTCCTGCAATTTTCATGCATGTATGTTTGAGAGACTGTGGAGCTTCTTGCAAACGAAACCCAACCCTTTTTTTTTTTCCTGAAGAAGTAATATTTCTGAATAGCTATAAAGAATACAAAGACGCTATATTTTTATTCTTTAAAAAGAAAAATAAATTTCATCCTATGAAATTCTGATTACAGCTTACTGTTTGTGCTAAATGTGAATGCACTAAGTAAGCTTGGTGATACCGTCAATAGAAGTTTGTGTCACAAATCTGTGCTTCATTCTGCAGGTGCACCACTAGTGTTGGTGCTATTTCCACTTTTGAGTATCTAGCACAAAAGCATAGGAATTGCAAAGGCCACTAGCTGATTTCTGAGACACTCTTGGTCTCCCTCTCAGTCTCCCCTCCAAAGCATTTAACATTTTGTGATTATTTTTGCTGGATGTTTTGTAGTTTTCTGAAAATGTCGCATATTTATATAGTTTGTTTTAAGGAATCTCATTTTCCTGAATTTTGGAAACAAAACACTTGGCTAAATAATGTTATTATTTCTTTCGTGAATGGCTTTGGGAAGCTGGAACTTAAGTGTTTGGACATTGACTTTGGTCCAGGAAGTTGTCTCATGAGCTGTTAGCTTACACAGATAAGGAGGTGACAGAGGTGTGTTAAGAAGTGGCTCCTGGCTTTCTCTACTACAATGCATTTCTAGCACCGAATCAGATTTGATGTAGGCTAATGCTAATTTGGGGAGTGGTGTGGGTGGGTGTCCATTGTTGCTTTCGTTGATGTGTACAGAATGACCCTGGCATTTCCCGAGATTTGGAAACAAACTTATTGTCATTAGGACTCTGATTATTGTGATGTTAGAACAGCTGTTATGTAAGTTCTGAACAGTCACGCAATATGGAGAAAAGGAGGCTGAGGGGCCATGTCATTGCTCTCCATGGCTTCCTGAGGAGGGGACGTGGAGAGGGAGGTGCTGAGATCTGCTCCCTTGGATCCAATGCCAGGACATGTGGGAATGGTTTCAAGCTGCCCCAGGGGAGGTTCAGACTGGACATCAGGAAGCATTTCTTTACCGAGAGGGTGGTCAGACACTAGAACAGGCTTCCTAGCGAGGTGGGGGATGCCCCACGCCTGTCACGGTTTAAGAGGCATTTGGACCATGCGCTTAATGATTTGCTTTAACTTTTGATCAGCCCTGAAGTGCTCAGGCAGTTGGACTAGGTGATCATTGTAGGTGTCTTCCAACTGGAACTGTTCTATTCTATTTTATTAATAGCAACTACTACATCCCTTCTTCTGTTAGAATGTAGTACCTGTATTGCTTTTCTTCTGCTCTCAGGGAACATTTTGTATCTATTAACACAGCTTTAAAGCGATTATTTCACTCTTCTTTAGGCCCTTTAGTGATCAAACTACTGAATTTATAAATTTTTGTAAAGATATTGCATACATTTAGGATAACTATCACTGAGAAAGGAGTGTGGTCATGATAAAATTTTAGTAGGAAGGAAAGGGATGACCTGTATTACATTTGTGAAATACTTTTAATATTTACACTTATATGTTTTCCTTTTAAAAAGGAAATTGTCAAGGAAGCATTGATGGAGGAGCAAAAACGAAGTGAAAAGGCAATCGAAGAAGCAGTGAAAAGGACAAGAGAGGAACTGATGGAATATATAAAAGAGCAGAAAAGGGTGAGTTACCAGTGGCTAATGGGTTTGACTTCATGCAGTGAGAAATTGGTGAAGTTTATTACTCCTGAAACCTGTCTTAAGCTGCACAGGAAAACAGAATTAGGAGTTATGTCTTGAGGTGTGTCACTTCTTTTTTTCAAATAATTTGTTGCTATGATATATTTCTTCATGTGTATTTACAGAATTTTAATTTCATCACAAGCCAAAAAGCAGAAATAAATACATTGGTTGAAATTTACAATATTTCTTATTGCAGCAACTTAAACTTGGGGCACAAATGCAGTCTCAAATTCAAATTGTGATCTGTGTTTGGTTCATTGAAAGCATCCCAGTATCAATAACAGGTGCTATTTTATGTTCACAAATTGACTTTATTGTGCAGTTTACATGCACTGGAAGGTCACTAACATAACAGCCTGAAAACGTATTGGTATTTTATTAAGCATGATTTATAGCCAGTGCAGTGGTCTTGTTATGAAATGCTGTAATGTTCTGAAACTTGGTTTCAGGTATTCTGTTAATGCTGTATGCTTGCAGTTTAATGCTTGTGTATAAACAGTAAAAGGTAACTTAAAAGACAGTTTGATTTGCTTTCAGTACAAGGATAAAAAAATTAACATACTTCTTCCCTTTGAGGCACTCTATAAAAATAAAAAAATAATTTAAACAACTCTTGCATATGGTGGTAGCAGCCCGAAATCAAACTCCGTTATTTCAGTGTTCTCAGTAAACAAAATCACTAAGCTTGAATTTAATTGGTAATGTTGTCCTGAGAAGCAAGAGAAAACAATGTGCTTGGCCTCTTCTATTCGCTACTTTTTTGGGCTGAATAGTATTATGGGAAATAGGATTTAACTTCAGAAGTTTCACTCTACTACTATTTAAGATTGGTACTGGATGAGCTCTCTTCCATTATGCTGTGCGTGAAGAAGTATTTAACAGTATGGGTCTTATTGGTAACAACATTTAAACAGACATCTGGAGAAAACATGATCCATAAGCATGTTTGATCTTGTTTATATGAGAAGTTGGTCAATTACAAAGGACAAGCTGTGGGGAAAGTGAAAATAGGTCTACTATTAAAATATCTTGTACCATAAATAGATTCGTCAGTAGGACCACTAGTGCAGATCATCTAGTCCATCTAACGCAGACTCCTCACTGCTGGCAGCTAGATCACACCATTTTAAGTTGGTAGTAATTTCTTATAGACAACAGCAACTCATTTGTCCTTAATCTCTTAGATTTCCATTTGCATCAGGAATGGAGACGTTCTTCCCTTTTCTTTCCTCCTGCACATAGTTGGAGCTCATTGCCATTATTCCAGTGTCTGACTACTGTTAATTTGCCTTGTCCTTGTGAAGTTTTCACAAATCAGTGAAACAATGAAAATGTCATCTTCAAAGAAACAAAATCCTCTTAGATTTAGATAGTAGGAGCATAATTTCCATTCTTTCTATACAGTTCTTGAATATCAAAGTATTTTAGTCAATTTTTTTTCCTTTCTTGATCGACACATATATCCATTCATTTAAAAAAAATATATATGCAAGAACAGCTGGTTTTTTCTGGCATAAGATTTCTAAAGTCTGTCTGCATTTAAGTTGATAGTGGAAGATGTTTTAAACTCCAATTGATTTGGCATAATAGATTTTATATGATTACATAAACGGCAGAGTAAATGGACCTTGGTCAAAGCCCTGCACCTGTCAGAGTAGTAAATATACTTTATGAACTATACTGAAAAGTAGCAGCTTGTGGAAGGAATTGCTAGAAAGAAGTCAGGGAAAATGCCTCACTTTCCTGGCTGAGATTCAGTGATTTATTTTTTTTTTCTTTGTGTGACGGGGAGTCACAGTTACACACTTGCAAAGGTAGTGTACACTGTATGTGTTTCATCATTGTTTTGAAAATAAGTTTGTAGAATCCTTCAAACCATGGGACATGGGCATAACAGTATTTGTACTTGGTTAGCAGTGGTTAAGTGCTTCAGGAATCAATAGATTCTTATCCAGCTTAGTTTGTAATAGTACAAATTACATTTCATCCCTCATGGTAAATATAGTATATGCCAGTTTTCAAAGTAGCTTGTAACTCGATCATTTATTCCATTAAGGCTTTCTTTTAGTGAAAGTATAATAGTTATGATATCAATTTAAGAAAACCACTTGCATATTTGGCCAGTTACATATTTGCCACAAATATTGTAAAATATTAATGGGCATTAACAGTTGTATTTGTGCTTGGGTTCTTAAAATAATTTCTCTACCAGTTTATAAAAGTTGAATCTGGCAATACCACAAGTTTTGCAGTACAATATAAAGGTAGTCCAGCATTATACTGTACTATATATGATAGTAAATATTTACTTTGAGTTAGAAAGAATTGGTTGTGAATGAGTCTTTCTAAAAATAGATTGATCTGATAATTATTTGTAGAGATCATTTGTGTCAACATAACATATACATTGAAAGTAAACCACAGAAGTCTCCCATTGCAGTTCCAAAACTGACTTCAATTATGTTCTAGCTGTGCTGGTGCTAAAATAGCAGTTACTTTAGAGAACCAAGACGCTGTACCGTTGAAGTGTTCAGACTTACCGACTGTGAATCCAGCATATCAGCAACCTATGTACAGTTTGTTAGTATATGGGACGTATGCATGGGATTATTTGAATTAGTAGAAAGTTACTTAGCAATAAGCAAGTAATTGATGTTCCTTTGTCCTTACACAGCACTTTTCAACCCTTTTCTTTCCTGATCAGTAATCTTTCAATGGAAATTCTTTAGAGCTGAGGATACTAAATGTCCTGCCTTTGATAAAAATCTTGTCTCAATAATTTGTGGTTATGCCTATTAAATGAATAATTTTGATACTATAAAAATGTTTTTTATGTTGCCACAGGTAGCATCTTAAGAATCTGGATATCTAAGATTTGAAGGAAAATTCGATCAGGAATTTGACTGTATTATTTCAGAATTATTTCGTAACCACCACCATTCTGAAACATGCTTCAAAACTACAATAGAATAAGACTGTCCTGTCTGTTCAAAGGCATATTCCATAGCTATCAGACTGGTAGAGGTTTATATAAATATTCATAACACATGGAAGAACTCAGAAGAGTCAAATTTGAATACACTTGCTACAACTGTTAGCCAGACTTGCCTTCTTCAGCAAAGGTATATCCACATTATGTCCAGAAAGTTATCATTATTAATTGCCTGAAGGTATATTTGTGTAATTTCGACATGTCTGTGTTTGCATGCAAGTATGAGGAAGGCAAAACAACGCTTTACCTTCCTGCTAGTGGGGTGAGAAATAACGGAAAGAGGTGAAGTGTAGCACACAGGTAAAAAGGAGATAGGCACTGAAGTACAACTAAATGGCAAGCCACTACTTTCACTTCTGTCTGAAAAATGAATGTTATTCTTGGTTCGTATCCAGTGCATGGATACAGCGCAGTGTTGCGTGCCGCCTATATCCATGAGACATGGATGTAGAAGGAAGCAAAATCTTTCGGTTTGGTTAGAGTGAGTTGAGTAAAGAGTAAGGAAGCTCTTGTCCATGAGTATCTAAAGTCTATCCAGTCTGATGTCAGCGCTAGATTCACTGACTCATTTGTCTGTATTGTCTTTTGTTGCCTGATGTTCAGAATGCCATAACCTCTGGCCCTGCATTGTGGTCTTTGCTCCTCTGACTGCTCTGAGGACAGCTGGCACTGTGGCAGGCCCCGGCACATGAAGTGCCCCAAAATACAATAAATCACATAGGCCAGCCATTGAGGCTCACTGTACCTGTGTTACTGATTGGACTGGGAAGCATTTACCAGCTTTTTGCGTTAATTCTTTAAAAATTCTAGTGTTTGTGTTTATACTGAATGTGTGTGAAGGGGATTCCCATTATTAGGTGGAACAACTCTGGGTTTTTTTAAGGGTTAACAGTTTTGTTTTGCTAGAGCATCATGCTGATGCAGTAGCATACATTTGCATGTCTGTATGTAGGCTTTTACATGTATGTGTGTGTATACATTCATATTTGTATTTATTACTTGGAGATCAGGACAAGAAGTAGAGTCTAATGGCATGTAAACTATGGCCTAGTATTTCAGTTCCCAAACTGTGATCCCTGGGCTAGGAGACAGAGGCATAGCAGCGCCCTGCCACTGACCTGTAGAACTGTATTGATATTTTGTAATATTTTTGGTTAAAGACTTGATTAATGGGTCCATGATGATCTGTTAGGAATATAAAGTCACACT